CCTCAAAAAAGCTGGGCATAGTGGTACATGCTGACACCATATTCCCAGCATTTTGGGAGGCTGAAGGAGGAGGATACTGATTTTAAACTCAGCCCAGGCAACTTAGTGACTCAGTAAGACTCTGCTTCAAAAGTTAAAAAAAAAAAAGGGGGGGGGGGCTGGGAGTGTAACTCAGTGGTAGAGTATCTCTGAATTAAATCCCCAATACCATACGCAAACACACAAAGAAAAAATAGAAAAAGAAACTCCTGTAGACTGTATATCATTCAAATTATCAGTAGATCCTTAGTCATAATTTTTTAAAAGCTGCTATGGGGGAACTGGGAAATGTAGCTCAGTGGTAGAACATAACAAATATAAAATTCAAAGTAAGTAATAATATAGTGACAGACATCTAAAGAGGAAAGATTCAGATTGGGTTATAAAAACTCAAAGCACTGAAAAAACGAACAAACAAACAACAACAACAACAAAAAACTCTAAAAAAAACTCAAGTCTAAATTTTTCTAAATGAATTGCCTACAAAACCTACAAAGTACAATTTTAAAAATGTGAAAACTATCAGAAACAATATAAATTCTGTAAGACTGCCAGAAAGAAAACATATCTAACAAAAGCAGTAACTTACATAAACATCAACAGTAACACATTTTGAAGTTTCATGTAATTAACAAAGGCTCAAAAATGAGGAAGCTGGACTTGGTAGTATATGCCTACAGTTCCAGCTACTTAGGTGGCTGAGTCAGGAGACAATATAGCAAGTGACCTAAAAAAGAATTAAAGTAGAAAACTTACAAAAGAACACAGTGCAGTGAGGTAGCATGAATGTAAGACATATCCAAGATTTCAGGTGGCCTAAAGGTAAGAATGCTTATTGGATCAAATTCCTGTGATTGTACAATGTTCTCAGTTTTAAATCATTTCCAAAAACCTTTGAGTGCATCTCATGTAGTTGAAGCTTATGAAAGTATGTAATATAAAAACCTGATGTCGATCATTTGTGTGTAGAATGCAACAGACAAACACAATAAAAGACGGTATCATAAAATGGGGGGAAAGTACAAAATGATATGTCCAGATATGCCAGGTCTATCCACTGGTACACATTAAATAAATTTGAAAAAGAAAGCAGGGTTGGCCGCACTTGATAAAGTCACAGTCACGGTAAAAAGCATTACAGAGAAATAAAGGAGGAGGAGAAGGTTATAAGCAGAAATGAGAAAGACTGAAACCACTGACCAGCATGATCCACATTTATCTCTTTATTCAATCTCCCCTGCTGGAATCAAGTACCAGGAGAACAAGGTCTTTACCTTTGTTGTCCTTTTCTGCATTCCTATGCTCTAGAATAAAGCCTGCATATATTAGGCATTTAATAAGTACTTGTTAATTAATGATTAAATGAAGATACAATTATGGAGTTCAGGACACAATTGACAATATTATTTAACTATCTGAAGCACTATTCTAAAATTTAAAAATCTGTAGGTGACCTACTATATTTAAATGGCAATGGAATACCCATCTCTGACAAAACTAAACAAAAATAGGGGGGTACAAATGAAGGACCATTTTGTATCTGCATATACAAAATAGGATAGACAGATATACAGCTACTTTCTCTTCATTCAGTGAAAAGAAAGATGTGTACTAATAGTGGTTGGACAGGATATCATGTCTGCAACTTATACTATGAATAACCACTACAAAGACAACAATATGCAATGTATTAATTATTGAAACTGTTCTATTAATTGGTTTTGAAACTGTTTCATTGCTACTTGTTTCTCAATAAAATAAATAAATAAATAAAAATAAAATTTAAAAGTCTGGAGCCAACATTATTATTATATTGAATAGGATTGCATAGTTATAAAAACAATTTTAAAAATGTGAAAACATTGCCAGAAACAAAACATATCTAACAAAATCAGTAACTTACATAAACATCAACAGTAACACATTTTGTTTTATGTAAGCAACAAAGGCTCAAAAGTGAGGAAGCTTTACTTGGTAGTACATGCTGATAGTTCCAGCTACTTAGGAGGCTGAGTTGGGAGGAATGCTTAAACCCAGGAGTTTGAGGCCAACCTAGGCAATATAGCAAGACCCTATCTCAAAACAAAAACAAAAATCTAAATTAATCTTGTGTCTTCCCTCACTTCAGACAAATGATTTGATGTCCTACTGAAAAAAACAG